TTGAAAAAGAAAAGCAAAGCTGGAGGCATGACAGTTCCAGACTTCAAGTTAATTACAAAGCTGTAGTAATCAAACCAATATGGTACTGGCACAAAAACAGACCCAAAGATCAAGGGAACAGAATACAAAACCCAGAAATACACCCACAAACATATGGTCAATTAATCTTTGACAAAGCCAGAAAGAAGATCCAATGGGAAAAAGAGAGTCTCTTCAACAAATGGTGTTGGGAAAACTAGAGAGCCACATGCAAAAGAATGAAACCCGACGCCTGGGTGGCTCAGTCGTTAAGCATCTGCCTTTGGCTCAGGTCATGATCCCAGGGTCCTGCGACAGAGCCCTGCATTGGGCTCCCTGCTCCGCGGGAAGCCTGCTTCTCCCTCTTCCACTCCCCCTGCTTGTATTCCCTCTCTCGCCGTGTCTCTCTGTCAAATAAATAGATACATACATACATACATACATACACACATACATAAATAGACTAGAATAGAATGAAAACAGACCACTTTCTTACACCATACACAAAGATAAACTCAAGATGGATGAAAGACCTAAATGTGAGATCTGAAACCATTAAAAGTCCTTAAAGAGAGCATGGGCAGTAATATCTCTGACATTGGCTATAGCAACTTTTTTCTAGATATGCCTCCTGAGGCAAGGAAGACAAAAGTAAAAATAAACTATTGGGGCTACATCAAAATAAAAGGCTTCTGCACAATGAAGGAAAGGATCAATAAAACTCAAAGGTAACCTACTGAATGGGAGAAGATATCTGCAAATGACATATCCAATAAAGGGTTAGTATCCAAAATATATAAAGAACTTATAAAACTCAACACCCAAAAAACAAGTAATCCAATTTAAAAATGGGCAGAAGACATCAACAGACATTTCTTCAAAGAAGACATCCAGATGGCTAACAGACACCTGAAAAGATGCTCATCATCACTTCTCATTAGGGAAATGCATATCAAAACTATAATGAGTTTGTTATTCACCTCAAAGCTGTCAGAATGGCTAAAATCAACAATACAAGAAACAACAGGTGTTGGCGAGGATGTGGAGAAAAAGGAACCCTCTTACACTGTTGGTGGGAATGCAAACCGGTGCGGCCACTCTGGAAAACAGTATGGAGGTTCCTCAAAAGGTTAAAACTAGAACTACCCTACGACCCAGCAATTGCATTACTGGGTATTTACCCAGAGAATACAAAAACACTAATTCAAGGGGATACATGCACTTCTATGTGCATAGCAGCATTATTCACAATAGCCAGGATATGGAAGCAGCCCAAGTGTCCATGGACAGATGAACGGACAAAGATGTGGTATATATCTGCAATAGAATATTATTCAGCCATAATAAAGAATGAAATCTTGCCATTTGCAATGACATGGATGGAACTAGAGAGTATAATGCTAAGTGAAATAAGTCAGTCAGAGAAAGACAAATACCATATGATATCACTCATTGTGAAATTTAAGAAATACAACAAAACAAGCAAAAGGAAAAAGAGACAAATCAAGGAACTGACACTTTTTTTTTAAAGTAATCTCTACACCGAAAGTGGGGCTCAAATTCACAACCCAGAGATTAAGAGTCACATGATTTACCAACTGAGCCAGCCAGGTGTCCTTCAGGCTCTTAACTATAGAGAACAAACTGATGGTTACCAGAGGGGAGGTGGAGAAGGGGATGGGTGAAATAGGTGATGGGGATTAAGGAGTGCACTTGTCATGATGAGCACCCAGTGATTAAAATAAAAGCTTGGCGGGCGCCTGGGTGGCTCAGTTGTTAAGCGTCTGCCTTCAGCTCAGGTCATGATCCCAGGGTCCTGGGATTGAGCCCCGCATCAGGCTCCCTGCTCACCGGGAAGCCTGCTTCTCCCTCTGCCTGTTGTTCCCCCTGCTTGTGCTCTCGCTCTCTCTTTCTCTCTGACAGACAGACAGACAGACAAACAAACAAACAAACAAACAAACAAATAAATAAATAAAAACTTAAAATGGCTAAGAGGGCCAATTTTAGGTTACATGAATTTTCCTACAAGTAAAAATAAAAAATAAATAGTATAGTCAGACTCAAATTCAGGACTAAGTCTAAATCCCATACTCTTTCCACTATGCCCTTCTTGATAAACTAACTCCATTCATTCATTCAGCAAATATATGAGGGCCTGCTACATGCCAGGCACAAGTAGCAGAGACGGATCGATTAATAAAATAGACACAGGTCCTCACATAGCTTAAGTTCTAGCCAATATAACTGCTTATCTCATAAGGACACCTGAATCATCCCTATATTCAAAGGAACTTTACCTACTGTTTAGTAATGCTTCAATGTCAGTTTGCTCCTCTCAAAAGCTATGAAAAGAATTACTCATATAGTTCTGAAGAGCCTCCTTCATTTTTCATGATCTCAGAGGCATCCTCAAACAACAGGCTTACTTTACTTTCTAGTGAGTGGAATCCCCTAATATCTTTCCTGATAATTCTGTCATAATCCCCAAATTAATAAATCTCCATGTTCCATTATTCACTAACCTAAACCTTGTTTTTCTTTATTCATTACATTCCTATCATCACTTTAAATTGCTTATTTAAAAAAAGATAAAACCAGTAAACAGAATATAGAAAGCCCTCATGTTTTAGCTCGGGATTTCAAAATATGATTTAGCCTAGTTAAGTAAGATTACCACTCATCTACATCATTTACTAAACCTCCAACTCAAATCTAAACAAGTCAAGTAATACCCTTCAGTTTTAGTTATACAGGCCTCCTTGGCACCCCACCCCACCCCCCAAATTGAAAGACCTACCAATCCCATTCTCAATCTCTCCATGAGGTTGCTTAGTTGCCATACTTGTGACTTGAACAACCATTTTATTCTAAAACCAAAATTCAGAAAGATTCCCCAGTGTATAATCCAAACATACCAATGAAGACAAAGAATAAACTCCTATTTAAAAGATATTTTTAAAGGCAAAAACAGACTCCGAAGACATATCTATTCTATTAGATTAGTACTAAGCATCTTTTTCTTCAAGAATTAAGCTGTCAAGTTTCCCTAAAAAACAAGTCAGTTTAGCATTCAAGTTACAAAAGCATCTTCAAATTATCTTTAGCAGCCTACAAGATTTAACCTTCTTTTAACAGCTAAGCTTTTTATATTCAGCAACTTCTCTAATTTCACAATTAGAGCTGAGGATTTAAATACAGAAGACAAAAGTACCTTTGATGAAGAGTTCCAAAAACTAACAGGAATGCAAAAATCCTAGAGTACAGCCAATCTCACTGAGTAGACACAGTAGCTCAAAAGTGAAAAGAAAAGGATGCTAACAGGATCTTCTTGAAGATCATTTTGATTACATACACTTCAAGCCTCAATCAAACCAAGGACTGACTGTACTACAAAATGTCCCACAAATAGCAGTAACTAGCGCCATCATCACTCACAGGAAACTGCTAAGGAATAAGATTCTTTACAAATTGTGAAAAGCAGGAAAAAAGTGAATGATCAGTGTGCCTTAAAAAAAAAAAAAAAGAGGGGCACCTGGGTGGCTCAGTCTTTTAGGTGTCCCAACTCTTGATTTCAGCTCTGGTCACCATCTCAGGAACATGAGATCGAGCCCCGCTGGGCATGGAGCCTGCTTAAGATTCTCTCTCTCTCTCTCTCCATCTCCCCCTGCTCCTCCCCACCTGCATGCTTGCTCTCTCTCAAAAAAAAAAGAGTACCACAAACCTACCTAAATTATCACTGTTGCAGATGCATTCTCAGTGCATTTAAAATGTTATCCAGGATTACCACTTACCATAATATAATTACTTTAACATGACAGTAATACGTATTAACAGCCGCATGTTTTATTATATAAATATTCAGCACTTAAATGGAGGGGAAAAAAAGAGTACCACAAGCCAAGTTTCACCAGAAAAATACTCTTACCATTTTCAATTTAAAATGCTTTACCTGGGGGCACCTGGGTGGCTCAGTTGGTTAAGCGACTGCCTTCAGCTCAGGTCATGATCCCAGGGTCCTGGGATCGAGCCCCGCGTCGGGCTCCCTGCTCGGTGGAGAGCCTGCTTCTCCCTCTCCCACTCCCCCTGCTTGTGTTCCCTCTCTAGCTGTCTCTCTCTCTCTCTCTCTCTCTGTCAATTAAATAAATAAATAAAATCTTTAAAAATAAATAAATAAATAAAATAAAATGCTTTACCTGATTTGAAATGAAAACTTTGCAATAAGGGCTATAAGGCTCACTTCTTTTAAAAACCATCATACTTAAATGTTCATAGCATACTGTCACATGAAAAAGTCACAAAACAATAAATATGAAAGAATTCTTTTTAATATATATTACTGTATGCGCCTTAGTTCTCTTCCAAAAATAGGATACTGCCCTTGTTTATTCAAGGCCCTTACAACAACTAACAGGAAACTCTGTTACTTCAACTTGAACAAAGTAGGATAAGCAACTATCCTAATGTTACTCAACAGCTCAGTGGTCACAGGAGATCATTTTATATCTAGGCATATATGACATATATATGTATGTTGCAGGTGTAATATGTATACCATGCATATGCAGAGAATATATATATACATACACATGCATAAAACATAAACTAATATATATGCACAGGAAAAAGTCTGAAAGATATAAATCCCAGATGAACAGTGATTACCTCTGGATGATATGAAATCTAACACTTAAATTTTCTATGTTGCTATTTAACTATTCTAACTTGTCTACAACACATAAAGGCTAAAATTTTTATTTTTATATTCCACTGAACTGGTTTTAACAGCAGAACGCTCTCCTCATATGGTATACCTTTCAAGTTCCACTAAGGAAGAATAATTTTCAAGTTCTCTGCCATCTTCCTACAGTTGTTAACATTTCTAGCTACTCTGGCAAACTCGTTCTAAACAAAAGGATGTTAAACATGTGATTTCATATACATCAACTTTTAGACACTGCAAATCAAATTCCTTAAAGATTTACCTTCATCATACATTTCTTCTATTAGATAGGCCTCTGCTCGATCTTTCAGAGCATTCACATTGTCGGGTTCCATCTGTAAAACTTCAGAACATACTCGAATAGCTTCAACAGGCTTCTCATCCTACAATAAATAAATGTTGAGAAAAGGATTTATGGTTGTTATTCCATATATTAAGTTTTTACATTTCTGGGAACCAATCAACTGTTACCTTAGAAAAGCAGTGGCAAATCCTTTCTTTTGAACGAATCGTATATTCAGAAACACTTGGCTCTGTTTTCATGACAGATTCATATTTGCTGGTTGCATCTGTGTATCTATGAATGAGCAGATCATGATGAGTACCTAGAGCTAAAGAAAGGACCCTCTACTCTTCACTATGTTACTTAATCAATTCACCTGAATGAGCAGGTGCCTTCAAACACTATTTTTCCCTTATTAATCTACAGTGGCAAAGAAGGTACCTCTGCCAGGAAAAGTTGGGAGATAGAACACATGACCACAGAAAATGTGTATGTACAAATAAAAGCATACCTGTGAATACCAAACAAAGTGATGAATTTCTTTACAGAAAAATGCTCACAATTTTGAAACGGAGTAAAACACCTTGTTAAAGTCTGACTCACACAAAGCATTTTCAGCAAAACAGAGATCAGGTTTTATTTCTTGGTCACTACACACCTTCATGAAATAACAGAGCCCATTAGCTACATGCCATTTTAAATAATGAATGTCAATATTCACAGCTAAGTATAATGTAGTTCCTTGCAGAATTCCCAGCTTTCTAAGAACAATAAAAGCTATTTCAGCATTTTAAAAAAAAACTAGTGAAAAGTATTAGTCATGTTATACACTAAGTTACTTTCCTTAGTAATGGCAAACTAAAAGATATTTTTATACCACTGTGGCACATTATTCCCAAAATGCATTACAATCTTCACATTTAAATGCTGATGTATTAAAACACAGACTTAAATATAACATTTAAAATGGAAGCTATCAATGTCAAAATCGTAGGTGAGATATTGTTCTGTAGTTTTCCAAGATGGTCCAACAACTGTAGGAAACTGTACAGAGAATACAAAACCTCACTTTACTTCTTACAACTACATTTGAAACTATAATTAGCTCCAAATAAAAAGTTCAATTAGAAAATAACTGCATTTCACTTACAAAAAAAAAAGTTAGCTTCTGAGAAAGTGAAATGGATGTACTTTCCCCAGTTCCTCCAACTAGGTAAAATTAAATTAAAATACCCTAGACATTACATATTTGTAAAAATATGAAAAAACTCAGAAAGAGGAGAGAAGAAGGTAGACCATTTGAGGATGGCACATTTAGAGTGAATTAATCCCAAATGTTGTGTTCTTTTTAATGCTGATATGCTTTTATGTTTTATGCATACAAATCATAAAGTTATATAGATGATAATACAAATCTAATATACTTGTTAATTCTACACTGGGCACTTGTGTTGCTCTTTTTGACCTGTCTGGGCAGGTAGCTGTAGTTGCGGGGCTGGAAGCTTAGAGGTGGGGAGGGGAGAATTCTATGTTCACCATCAATATCTTGGTCAGACCTGAACTCTTGAGTCTCTTCACACAAAACTGGATAAGAAGACAGTTACGCCTGTTTAGAGTTAACTTCCAATATGCATACTTTGCTTAGAATTTGGGGGAAATTTTTTGAAAGATAATTGTCAAATTATTGGAAATTTGTTATAGTAATACTAGTATGACATTTTGTCATATAAAATTCGTATTGACCTCTTACATCTGTTAGAAACATTGTTGCACATAATTTGATTTATCTTGATTTTGTTTCACTAACTAAAACAATGGTAAAACTTGGGGGGGGGGGAACCCAACAGCTAGGGACCTTGGGACCTGAGGGAAACATAATATGGTAAACTTCCTGGATTTTTTTTTTTCTTCCTATACCCCAAATTTGGAGCTAAAGCAGCCAGCAACTCAGAAATGCCAAAGGGTGCAGACAATAAAATCAAAAACCCACCAGGAGTCTGCTCTCTCAGGCCAAAAAACCTGGGAAGGGCAGCCTAGATGGCAACTTTGACAACAACAGCTCCACTCCAGCCGAACGCCACAGAAAGCGAGTAAAGCCCCGCCTCAACCAACGCCAGCCAGTCCGGTGGACAGCCCTCACTTCCTGCTGAGGCCGCGCCAAGGTGTGCCCCGCCCTGTACCGAGGTGGTGCACACAAGGCCAAGTGCGGAGCCAGGACTTTCATCCATGGCTACAAATAGCCCCCAAAACTCTCACCTGCTCCAAGCAGTAGTGAGAAGCCCCACACCTCAAGTATCAACAAAGGTCAAGTAGGAAACTTCTACCTCCCTGACAGTAACAACGCAATGCCCACCCCTGCTTCGCTGGAACAATGTCAGAAAAAAACAGCCAAAACAGAAGATTTAAATTAAAAAAAAGTCTTACAAAATCAAAGTGTCCAAGTTTCAATTAAAAACCACTCAGCATACCAAGAAACAAGAAGATCTCAAACTGAATGAGAACAGACACTTCCAACCCCCAAAGGACAGAGGTGTTAGAACTATCTGAGGGGCGCCTGGGTGGTCAGTTGGTTAAGCGACTGCCTTCAGCTCAGGTCATGATCCTGGAGTCCCGGGATCGAGTCCTGCATCGGGCTCCCTGCTCGGCAGGGAGTCTGCTTCTCCCTCTGACTCTCCCCCCTCTCCTGCTCTCTCTCTCTCATTCTCTCTCTCAAATAAATAAATAAAATTAAAAAAAATAAAAATAAAAAAAAAGAACTATCTGACAAAGATCTTAAAGCAGCCATGGAAATAGCAGCAGTGACAAACATGCTTAAAGCAAATGAAAGCAACAGACAGCCTTGGCAAAGTAACAGAAGAGATACAAGAACAACCAAATGGAATCTGTTTATTAGAACTGAAAAACAGAAAAACCCAAATAAAAAGCTCATTGAGTGTCCTTCAACGGTAGAACGGAGGTGACAGAGAAAAGAATCAGTGAATTGGAATGATAAAAAATGACCAAATCTGATCAGAAAGAAAATGAGCTGAGAAAAATGAATAGAGTCTCAGGGACATGAGGGGCTATAACAGAAGAGCTAACATTTATGTCAGTTGGAATCTAAGATGGAAAGGAGAGAAGACTGAAAAAGTACTCAAGAAATAATGACTGAAGCCTCCCAAATTTGACAAGACATAAACCTACATATTCCAGAAGCTAAGTAAACTTCAAATAGGATAAAAACAAAGATATCCATACCTAGATACAACACAATTAAACTTCTGAGTACTCAAGACAAAGAAAAAAATCTTGAAAGCAGTCAGAGGAAAATGCCTTATTTTTAGGGAGAAGACCATTAGAATGACAATGGAAACCAAGGAGGTCACAAAGAAGAGGTACAATATTTTTCAGGGCTGTAACAAAAGGGCTGTTAGCCCAGAATCCTATACCACAAGAAAATCTCTATATACTCTGTATATATCTCTATCACTCTAGATACCGCATTATCTTTTAATAATCAATTTATATGTCTGTCTCTCACCCTAATCTAGAAGCTTAAGACCAAAAACCATGTCATATTCATTTCTACACCACTAGTACATTGTCAGTGCCTGACACAGGAGATAATAAATATTTGGTGAAATATAAACAAATCTGCTGGTAAGAATACTATGCAGTTACTATTATTTATATTCTGCCATATTAAAAAAATGTACAGTTGTAGTAATTTTGCCAAGGCCCAGTGCTTTCTAGGATATTCTATCCTCAATGGCTAACGAGTAAAAGAGCGAGCAGTTCAACTGTTCTTTTGTGCCCAGAAAAGACGTGTAAGGGAGGCTGTACAGCAAACGAGCGTACTCTTACCTGCCATCTCTGATGAGCTCTTCAGCTGACTCAATTAGCTTATTCAGTTTCTTTACTTGTTTATAGTGTGCAAAACACCTTTTATGATCCTGGTCAAGTTTAAGACATTCACGAACTTCGCTGCTCATGTATTTAAAAAGAGGAAAATACTCCAAGTCAAAATAATCAATGAGTAGTTTTCCATACCAAATACAGAAATCACAATAAAAGGTATTTTTTTGGTAACAATTAAACACAACACACAGACCTAATAATCTACCATACATTTTACATATGGTATTGTCACACACACATCAACTCAAATTAAAATGACTTAAATAGGTCATACATAAAACACCCCACTTTGCTTCTGCAAATACAGTATCTCTAGCTTCATAAGCATAGCTTGTGAAAATAAACTGTGGAAATAGAATAACTTAGGGATAACACAAAATATATAAATGAAGAATGTAAAAACAGCCTTAACCACAGTTTTAACTTAAAATTAAAAAGAAAATGAGATTATTATCCTACGGCCAACAAGAAAAAGATGACAGGAGATGTGCACGTCACTGGAACTGACCTGAGGGACAGTTCGTGGTCTCCTAGTTGATAGTACAGTGTGCTAATTTTATAAAAAGCCTCAGTATTATCATTCTTCAATTTTGATGCAGCTTTTAAGTCACTTATTGCTTTCCTAGGTTCCCCTTCTTTTATGAAACATTCAGCTCGAAGTTCCCGCAGTTCTGCATCCCAAACACAAACCTTGAGAAACAAGAGAACTAGACTTTAAGAAACAGTAAACTATGCACAGTCATGCTTCCCTCCCACATATTTTGCCTACATACTTATCAACATGAAACCATCTTCAGGTAATGTGATTTCTATGTCGTAAATAGTATTAAAAAGTCTGATACAATTTAGATGTGACAAAATAATTTCTCCAAGGATATCTTAAATAAAGTCTAAGAGGGAAGGAATATCCCGTATATACTAACGAGGCCCCTTTCCTCCTTCCTTCAATTATATAATCTTAAAACTTTGAAAATAAGAATACATGGCATTACTATTAAAAGGTTGTTCCCAGTTAAGCATATCTGATTTTGAAAAGAATATTCCATAATCAGATTTTGTACTTAATCAACAATTCTAATTTCTAGTCTCAAAAAAATAAAATCTAGGTTCTACATCTGCAAAATATTTCTGTTCTACTAATAACTAAATAGAATTCTTTTATAAATTGTTGCCTCTTTGAAATCAAATCCTCATATCACAAAAAGAAAGAAAAGAGGAAAACAATGTGGGAAGGCTGAGGCTTCACCATTTCTACTTTATCAAAAAGTCAACAAAGTTCATAAATGGACTAGTATTCTTTAAAACTTAAGCCCAGGGGCACCTGGGTGGCTCAGTCATTAAGCGTCTGCCTTCGGCTCAGGTCATGATCCCAGGGTCCTGGGATCGAGCCCCGCCATCACGCTCCCCGCTCAGCGGGAAGCCTGCTTCTCCCTTTCCCACCTCCCCGCTTGTGTTCCCTCTCTAGCTGTGTCTCTCTCTGTCAAATAAATAAATCTTTAAAAAAAATTTTTTTTAATAAATAAATAAATAAAACTTAAGCCCAAAAGTCCACCAATAAAGCCTGTATCTTTTAACTATTTCTCAGAGCTGTTCTTTCTACAGTCATGTCAATTCTTCACATATGTTAAGACATCAAAATCAACACTGTACATTAAGTATCTTGAATAATAAGCTAGGTCAAAATGGATAGTCTAACTACTGGAAGGTAAAAATTTTAACTTTGTATTTCCTTAATAAAGCATTAACAAAATACTGTAATAAAACATGAATTCCACTAGACCACACCACATAATTTCCTCTACAAAATCATCAAAGAAGCTACTCTACATACATCCCAAGTTTATTGCCAAGATTAAGTGAAACTATACATCAAAGTGCTATGAAAATGATAAATAAACATGAATTATGATTGCTTCTACTGGAATATTTCAGTAGACTTCCTTCTGAAGCCATCTGTCATTCAATCCTTCAGAGGCAAGAAAACTATAGACTTAGGTTTCCTATCTAGAACTCTGGACCTTGTCAACTCCATCTGCTTCTTCCCTAGAAACTTACTCTAAACACTCCTCTTCGCCACAAACATTATTTTTCCTTTTCCTTCAAGCAATTCTTTCATCCTTTATCCCATTATCTAACCTCCCAAGTTCTCTCCCCCAAACACAAAATGTAAAATCAAACAAAAATAGCAAAGCAAGCAATATATAAAAATACGTAACTCCTCCTCCACAGCACATTCAGTACATTTACTGAAAACTTCAGTTCCAAATTTTGTTCTATCTAAATACCATCTTTTCACTTCAGAGCTAAAAGCCCAAAGATCAACCTGATTTTATCCTATCTAGGTTTCTTGTAATACGTAACATGTCAAAGTGCATAAACATGCCTTAGAGTAAAAAGCAGTGTGTGTCAGGCCTGCCAGCTGCAATGTCTGAGAAACTTACCTCTAAAATCTTATCAAGGAAGGTTATAGCAGCCGTATGATCGGAGTTCTCGAAAGCATCAAGTGCTTGGGAGCGCAAACGCTGCATTTCATCAGATTTCACAAGTTGCAACTGGGCTTCCTTTTCTTCATTTTCACTTGGGTTAGATTTGAGCTGTAAGAATGAGAAATTAATGAGAAATATTCAATCTCTTAAATCTAACACGTGCAGTACACACCACTATCTGACCATTTTAAATCCTGAAGTTCACTGGAGGCAAAGGGTAAAGAGACGCTGGCCACACCAGCTCCTCCCAGGACTTGCCGTGGGGCTGACCAGCAGGAGGGCATCTTTGCCTCCACTCAGGCGGACAGTACACAGGCGTGAGCTGGAAGCTGGGGGCAAAAGACCTGGGTCCCCCGAACCTGACCAGGAAGCAAACACAGTTAGAAACTTGAAAGGGCAGAGAAGAACGAAGTATGGAGAGCTCTCGCCTCACTCTTAGGTACAGCTCAGCAGAGTCATGTGAGTTTCATGTATTCTGCCTTCTAGCTCTATTTCCTAAATATGTATTTTTAAGTATAATTTTACCAAAATAATGAAAAACAGGGAAACTGAGGAGAGGGCATGTTTTTTAGAGGTTATAGGACGAAGATTTGATACCAGAGAGGCTAAGGTGTAATGAGAAAGGAAGAATTTATGGGGAAAAATGAGAGAGTAATACCTTACATTAAAAAGACTTACAGTTTTAAGAGGTCTACACATTTCTCTTTTTTAATAACTTTATCAAGGTATAATTCATACCATAAAACTCATCCATTTTGAGTGTGCAATTCTGATTTTTAACATATTTAGCAAGTATGTACCCACTACCACGGTTTTAGACCATTTCTGTCAACCTTTTAAGATCCCTTATGTCTGTTTATAGTTCATTCCTACTCCCAGACCGGCCTCAGGCACAGCGACTCTTAACAATTTCTTCCTCCAAATGGAAAATCTTAAGCTTCATGGCTTAGAAAAATTGGGTGCCTACATTAAAAAGCTCTGACTTGGGCAAAGGGGGACTTTTTTCCTGGCGATTATAGTTTATGTGTAATAATTCCTGAAATCAAATATTCTTACTAAAGACGGAAATTGTAGTTGATAGGTTCCTATTTTGGGTGAGGTACAACCATTGGTAGATTGTTTCTAGAAATGTCTCTCCTTCAACTGACCAATCACACTGCTCCCCCTTTTAGCTAAAAAACACCCCCACCACTAGCTACCTGGTAGTAGAGAACACTCCAAATGAGAAACCTCAAGAATACTATTTCTGAGTAGAGGCTCTATATTTCTCCATTTTGTTTTTTGGATACTTTAGGTATTGTTTTGTCTGTTTAAACCACTGGCTTTTGACAGAATGGATAGGGCTCCAAGTATTCATAGGTAACTAGGAATTAACAACCTCAGCTTGCTCTGAGGAGGACTGTCCCTGCATGACTGAATTCCCCAGGTGAAGGGAGTTGCTGTAAGCCATGGCATGCTAACCTACGACTGTTCTGTCATCATCAGGATGGTCTCGAACACTTCTGGCAGACCACGTCGGAAGAAAGACAAATGTGTATGTCCTTTGCTCTAGGTAAAGGTAATTTATTGATTAACTTGTTTCCTATATGTACATTACTGCTCCTTTTTGAACAGAATACATTAGACTGTTTTAGAGACTGCCTCTTCTGGATGGGATTTGCATCCTTTTTTCCCTCAAACTTTAGAGTCTGATCTCTACCACACGATTTTCCTTGTTGGAAGGTGAGAGCAGGGAAAGCCCTAAAGCTTGAGGTTGAGGATGGAGGGCTCAACCTCACTCAGTGCTCAGACAACGGGAATGGGAAAGAGGGAGTGAGGTCAGGTCCTCTGGACCTCTTTGAGGATAGAGGGAGCTAGGAGAGAAGGAGGGGATTCTTGCAAGGAGGTAAGAAAGGAGTCTGAAAAACAAACTAAGGACTTATAACCCTGAGAAGTTTCAAAGTAAGTTAAGGGAGATGAACATTTTCACTCTTACTGCAGGTGGGGGACTCCTCCTAGGATATATACATGTGGAGACTGGACCCTGCTAGCATTTCCCTTCCTCTTTTTTTCATGTTTCTTCATAACCCTTCTCTTCTTCAGTGTTTCATATTTCTGACCCTCTCAGACAAACCTCTACCCATGACATTAATTTATTTCTTATTTCTTACCATTTACTGTGATCACTGAGCTTCTGGATAAAAACCCGTAAGAGCGGGCGCTTGGGTGGCTCAGATGGTTAAGCGTCTGCCTTCGGCTCAGGTCATGATCCCAGGGTCCTGGGATCGAGTCCCGCATCGGGCTCCCTGCTTGGCGGGAAGCCTGCTTCTCCCTCTGCTTCTCTCTCTCTCTCTCTGTGTCTCTCATGAATAAATAAATAAAATCTTAAAAAAAAAAAAAAAAAACCCGTAATAGCTATGGGATGGGGGTTTGTTAAAAGGGATGAGCCGCTCTCTAATCTAAATACACCCCTATTTCTGGGACTTCAAATGAAAACAATGGGCCGATAATTGTAGTGGGCAGACTTCTAAGATGGCCCCAAAAGACCCCCACCGCCTGGAATTCATACCTTTGTGTGATCCCCTCCCCTAGAGTATAGAATGGAGCTGGTAACTCCCTTTAACAGACAGAATATGAGAGAGATGACAGGATGTCACTTCCTTAGTTAGGTACAAAACAATGTGACTTCCATCTGACTAGCACTCATTCTCTCTTGCTGGCAGTCTCTTGTCTTCTCACCTGCTCACCCGGATGAAGCAAGCCACCATGCTGTGAGATGCTTTATGGAGAGGCCCACAAAAGAAAGAACCAAGGGAAGCGATAGCCGACACTCAGAAAGAGGCCTCAAGTCTAACTAACAGCTCAAGAGGAATTAAATCCTGCCTACAGTGAAATGAGTTTGGAAGCAGTTCTTTCACCAGCCAAATCTTCAGGTAATACTGCAAGCTTACCTGACACCTTGACTGTGGCCTAGGAGAGACTCCGAAGCAGAGCACCCAGCTCAACCCGCCCAGATTCCTGACCCCATGAGCCGTGTGTTGCTTTAAGCTGCTAACTTTGAGTAATCTGTTTAGCAGCAATAGATAATATAGTATTTTACTACTTTTCAGTGGCTAGATTGTGAATATTGCCAAACAGATTTTGTGTTATTAATGTTTTAAAATAAAGTCTAAATGGCGGGAAAAAAAAACACCTAAGCCCAAACCTTGATTTTATCACTTATTATCTGTATATTATTTACATTATCTTCACCAAAAAGGGGGGGGGGGATAATAATGATGTGGGAAACAAAGGCAAAAGAAAAAATTAAATTTCCTTACTATTTATAGCCCATTGACAAGTCCTTGAAACAAGCAGAGTGACTTTGCTCCAGGAACTCAAGTACCTCGATGTTGATACTTTGCTAAGGGCAAAAGGCAATCTTAGCCCAACGCCCAGGATCCTGTGAGTCTACTTTAACATATAAAAATTCCTTTGGAGGGCGCCTGGGTGGCTCAGTTGGTTAAGCGACTGCCTTCGGCTCAGGTCATGATCCTGGAGTCCCTGGATCGAGTCCCGCATCGGGCTCCCTGCTCGGCAGGGAGTCTGCTTCGTCCTCTGACCCTATCCCCTCTCATGTGTTCTCTCTCTCAAATAAATAAATAAAATCTTTAAAAAAAAAAAAAAAATTTCCTTTGGAAACTTCCTTTATCTCTACCTGAACCCCCCTCCCTGCCAAGATACATGTTAGCAATCATCCTCCAAGTATATGGCCCACTGATACATATCTGAAGAGTCTCATGACTAAGATTTTACTAGACAGTAATAAATGACCTTTTCCTAACAATGGCAAGCCCCCTCAAGGTCCTGGAAACCTTGTTTCCAAAATACCTTGGAAACCTTGTTTCTAAAATACTGTCCCTAACCCCCTCCCAACCTCAAAGTATATAATCAGAACCCCAGTGCAGCTTTCTGCCCATGGGTCCTATAGCCATGCTTTAATAATAACCACCTTTTGGGGCGCCTGGGTGACTCAGTTGGTTAAGCGACTGCCTTCGGCTCAGGTCATGATCCTGGAGTCCCGGGATTGAGTCCCACATCGGGCTCCCTGCTTGGCAGGGAGTCTGCTTCTCCCTCTGACCCTCCTCCCTCTCATGCTCTCTGTCTCAAATAAATAAATAAAATCTTTTAAAAATAAATAAATAAATAATAACCACCTTTTTTGGACCAAGATGTCTCAAGAATTCTTTCTTGGCCATTGGCTCTGAACCCCAACATTTCCTACATCAATAATGCTTACACCCTGAGGAATAGTCACTGAGAAATTAAAAAGATACTTCATGCAACACATAGCAAGTACTCCAAAAAATGCTAATAAAAATTCCAAGCTCCTTTTTTGAACTTTCTATAGTATATAAATTGACAATGAGGACAGAATGCAATACTTTAAATGGCTATTCAATTTATTTCCCTCCCACTGCATTACATATCAGCCAACTTAAACTGGGTGCCCTCTATGAAAGTTTGCATAATTAAAGTCCCAGAATAGCACCTGGGTGGCTCAGCCGGTTGAGCATCTGACTCTAATGGTTTTGGCTCAGCTGTGCTCTCAGGGTCGTGAGATCGAGCCCCACCTCGGGCTCTGTGCTCAGTGCAGACAGAGTCTGCTTGTCCCTCTCCCTCTGCTCTCCTCCACCCCTCTCTACCCCATGCACTCTCTCTCTCAAATAAATAAAATCTTAAGAAAAAAAAAGTCTCAGAATAATAAGAGCTTAATTTGACTCAAGGTTGGGGTGCCTGGGTGGCTCAGTCATTAAGCATCTGCCTTCAGCTCAGGTCATGATCCCCGGGTCCTGGGATCGAGCCCCGCATCGGGCTCCCTGCTCCGCAGGGCGCCTGCTTCTCCCTCTCCCACTCTCCCTGCTTATGTTTCCTCTCTCACTGTGTCTCTCTCTGTCAAATAAATAAATAAAATCTTTAAAAAAAAAATTTGACTCAAGGTCAAAATAAAATTAGATTTTGGCATAAAATACATTCACCAAACCACTTGTTGCTCAAGAAATTAATCTTTCCAATTCTATTAAATTTAATTATGGTTTTAAGAGGTAAGTAGCACAAATTTACATTTTTCATTTGATACTAATTGATAA